GTGTATATGTCCATGAATGACTGAAAAATTGTGCTGAACACTGGAATTTGACACAACACTGTAAAATGATTATGAATCAATAAAAATGTAAAAACAAAAGAATATCTTCTTATGATATGTATGTGAGTGTGTTTTCCTCCACAGAGAATAGAGTTCAGAAGGCAAGGATTGTGTCTTCCACATTCACCCAACCTAGTAAAGTGAGACTGAAACCAGCCTTCTCCTCTACTAGGGACAGGGACAGTTCTCAGCCCCATCTATCTCTTGGTTCCTCTTCCTTGCCAAGTAAGGTCCAGCACTAGAGTTAGGGAAAAGTGCCTGAAAGACCCAGCAGGAGCTTAATAGATAGTCGTGAAATGAATGAATCATTGAGTGAAAGGGAAACAAGAAAAGATAAAAGAATTTTGAGAGCACCCTCACCAGGATTATTTCAGTCTAGCTGAAGGGAGCTTTGAGAACCAAGCCAGTATGAGGGATGACAAGTGAGTGGTATAATGAAGTGTGAACATAAGGTTCTGGTAGTGGCTCTGCCTTCAATGCCATGTGGAACCTTGGGGGAAATCTCTGAGCCTCAGTTCCTCATGTACCCCATCAGCCTGCCTGCAGGTGGCCCAATATGGACACTGATCATCAGGTTCCTCAGAGCTTTTGACATTCATGTTTGAGGCTTCTTCCCCAAGTGCCCAGACACTCAGAGCCCCCTGGCGCCTCTGCATCTGCAGAAAGTTTTTCTTGGCTACAGTCCTGACCCGAAGACCTTCACTGCCTGCTGGGAGAAAAGAACTCTCAGTTGTGGAAACTGGTAAACTCTACATATTTTACAGATGAGCCCAAACTCCTGATGACTCTAAATGTGGTGTGAAATGGACAGAAGTCACCGTATTGGTGTGACATGCCTGAGATAGTGTGGTCACCACCACCGCCACCCCATGCAGACACGCACGTCATGGAAAGAGAAGTGCCTTGGCCAATGTTGGCCCTCATCCCTTATCCCTCACTCCCAGGCCTTATTCTGTGCTTTTCCAAATTTTTAAGGTAAGAAGTGCTCTATCTGCTGTGCAGGAAAATAGCCCATTGTCATCTAAAAGCAAAGGATACAGGGAATTACTGTTCAGTCTTGAGACCTGATTCAGCGACCAGAGCCCAGCTCTGGCTGGCTGCGACGGTCCCCACTATACCCGCAGAGGGAAAAATCTTTTCAGATTGAACAGCCACCAATCTCCTGCCACCGAAATGTGCCCGTGGGCAGGGGCAGCGATTTGGGCGCTAGAGAAAACGCCCAAGTGTCTAGGTAACGGAGAGAACTGGCTGATTTTATTTTTCTTTGACTTGGTGGAGATAGTGAGGCAGCCTAGACATTGAGATGTGAGTATTTTATCTGTCAAACAATTATTCCCTGTCCTCTGAGTCAGCTGGTCTCTAGCACCCTGCAAAGCCCACCACTGTTGCATCTTCTCCGAACCCCTCAGCCTCTAACTCCTCCTCTCAAACCCAAGCCCTAACAGTGAGAAGGGCCCGAACGACCAAACTAGTCCGGGTTCGCTGCGAGCCCACCGCATTTATGCGCGTGCGGGGGTGTGTGCACGCGCGCGCGGGTGTGTGGCGAGTGTGCGAGCGGCGCGCGCGCGCGGCTGTGTGGCGGGGGC